TGTTGTATTTGTATCTTGTACTTAAATGCTTTTTTTGGAAATGTAATTAGAATTTTAAATACATTTTTGACGAAGTATTTTGTATTTGTATTTCGATACATATTTGCATGTATTTTGCCCATCCCTGCCTAAATGTAATCGTAACCTCTGGTGGTTAGCAAGAACATCGACATGGTTCCACATTTTGCGGATGCGGTTCGGATACGGATACGGATACAAAGTCTGCGGATCGGATGCGGATACAAAGTCTGCGGATGCGGATCGGATGCGGATACTCAAACTGTTATCTGCGCAGGGCTCTTATGCAACCGTAATCTTTACCGCGGCACGCATGCGGGGAGCGCTACTTGCTTCTCATTGTTAGCGGGGCTGTGACGTCACGCCCTACTTCTTACTCTGCCGCTTGCGCGGCAGTTTATGCAACCGAGAAACGCGTGCAGATAGCTCTACTGCTTTGGATTGTTCGCGCGTGCCTTATCTATAATGTGGTTTTGACTTGTTTTGTGGTTTTCTTGTTGAAAAAAAACTGAAAACCACATGATAAATAAAGCGCGCGCGATGGTTTTTTGTCGGCTACTGTTCTGTCGGCGGACACGAAAAAACCCGACCAACGAGTCATATACAGCTTCGCTGTGAAAAAGTAAAGAAGTTTAGTGCTGTGCACACGGCATTCAACGTGTCTGTAATGCCTATAAACAGAACAGAACGAGCCGCATTTTGCGTAGGTTGCAGTGTTTCCGCCGTCTATATTTCTGCACGCTTCGCAGAACGTGCAACGTGTCTATCGCCGTCAGCATAGTCGTCTGCGTTTTCTGTAACGCAGCATTCTTGCCTGTAGGAATCCTAGACAAAGTTTCCAGGCAGATTATGTATTTATTTACCCTAGAGGTTCTTTCGGGCATTACATAGGGGGGGAGGGAGGAGGGGGGGGGGGGGAGGGGGGGGGATCGACGTCCGACTGTCTCAAAGTACCGTGATGTGCGGGCCAACAGCCCAGTGACGCGCTTGTAATGGTCCTACAGTGCCATGTATATGAGCAAAGACATCTTGTCCTCTTTCATAAACAAATTCACGCGTGCCCAATAACACTCCGGATTTTATTGTTCTGCCTCTCCTGTTTAACGTGACAGCGCACTGCTGCCTAGGCCGCTCGGCGGTTGGCAGGTGCTCAAATAACGACTGCGGCTTATCACATAGCCGCCAACGGCCTCGTGTAACGAGCCACAAAACCATTGAAGCAGATCATGCGAATCGCCGCTTCTTCTGAAGCGAAGTGGGGCTGGTGTGGTGAGATACCCACAGTTTGCACTTCACGCTTTTACTTGCTGTACGGACGTGACCCTGCTTTTTCCTTGAATGATGGTCTACCGCAGTAGAAAATACCTCTACATTTCCCCCTAGTCTCTTGCAACTGCTTTTTTTTTTTTTTTTTTTTTGAGGGGGGGGGGGGGGGTGGAATTCACATACACCAGGTTTAGGCGCCAAATTTAGGCAATTATCCGAATTTTTCTGTGAATGCTGCCCTCGAAGTGCTAACACGGGCGCTTGAATTGCGCTTCTCGGCATCCGTGAACATGCCGATGTTGGCTAGCCCAGCTTGTAATGTCTAGCCTCAGCCTATATGGTGAGTTCAAACAGGGCGTATGTCCACAACGCGTGACGCTTCTCGAGCCCGGGAGCATCAAGTTCGACTTCAACCCAAACATGTACGCGCCACCCCAAAAAAGTAACTAAATACCGTTACTCGCTCAAAAAGTGACTACATAACGTTACTCGTTACTGATTCTCAAAAGGAACGCGTTACTTTACCTCAAATGTGATGAGTTGCTTTTCTCGTTACTTTGGCGACCAAATACACAACTGCTTTAGTCTCATGGAGTGCCGTTTTCTTTTCAGTAGTCGTTGCATGCAAGTATAGTAGCTGCCTCTACAAGCTTTCCTCGGTTATGTTTTCCCGCTTCCGTGCGAATCCATCTCCGGCGATGCTGAATAGTCGTTCTACTGACGTGCTAAAAGGAACGGCAGTGTTGTACTTCAGGAAGGGCTGGCGAATCTGGGATTCCCCTCTCCCTTTTGTTCTCTCTGCTTCTAAATCTCAAAAATTGACAATGGGTTCTATGTCTTCCCGCGTTGGCGACTTCCGGGTTTAACATTCGGTCTGTACACGATTCTAGAGGGTTCAACCAACTAGCGTCGTTGTGTTCGCTGGGTCAAGGACATTATTCCCAGCTGTAGAGTTCTGCTGCTGACGTGTTCAGTGATAAACGTTGCAATACTCTCCTACTGTTTAGTTTCGGGTTGCCCATCTGCTTTTGTCGAAATAGACGCATAATAAGGTTCGAATGAAAACAATACTGTTTAAACGGTGCTGTACACGTTACTGCTCCAAAGTAACGAAATACCGTTTCTCGTTACTTGGCCTTTCAAGTAACTAAGTATGTTACTCGTTTATTTTCTGAAAAAGGTGACTAAGTAGGTTACTCGTTACCGAAAAAAAAGTAACTATGCTCCGTCTCACTAAAGCCGTGCAGTAAACCAAAGCCAGAGGGGAGAGAGCGTTTCCCAACCTTTTCAAGAGGATGGAAAGGAGGAACAGGAGAGAGAGGCTATGATTCTCAGTCTTACTCTTCTGTTCCTCCTTTCCCTCTTCTTGCACAGGTTGAGATACGCTCTCTCCCCTGCAGCTTTGGCTGTACTGCAAGGTGTTAGCGAGATGGAATATAGGTAGAAGAAACTCGTTACGTACATGCCTGCAGGTCAACCCCCTTTCTAGCACCTGCCTCGGGGGAGAAAGATTTGTTGTTTTTTATGAAACACCGCAATTTAATCTTCTTGTTGCTCCGACGTTAATCAGTCACTCCAGAAAGTGGGAAGGGGGGGGGGGAGGGGGGAAGAGATTGTCCCGTCGACAGAACGACCCGATGCACGCCACGTAACGGACGCGAAAGCCTATTATTCATGGCATCGAAGTTAATCGAGTTAAATTAACGTGATTTCATTTTCTTCACAAATAAACGTCGCATTACTACTTAACGAAATGTCAGCACCCGGCCACCCGTTGACACCGGCAAGCCCCACGAGTTGGCAGAGGGGCAATGATGCAGTAGCTCAGTGTATTTTCTCATGTCAAAATCTGTAATATTTCCGGAATTCAGTGTCATCTGGTGATTCAAATGGCAGTGTAACTTTTACCGTACTAATGGCGGCAATGAACCTGTAGTCTGCAGTATTTTATGGGGCACCATCACTTTCGCAATTCAACGGTAAACGAGAATGCGCGCTTCACTGTACAGTTCTTTTTCAACCTTTTTCAGTGTCGATGGCGAAAAAAATGCAACCAGTCAGAACGAAGTGCCAACCTACATAGGTGCCTTGATAAAGCTCTACACATCAAGGGGCTTTGAGGCCGAGTGTATGCTACTAACAGATTGACTGGGCCCAAGTTAGAAATGAACGCTTACGCAGCTCGAGCATCTTCAACTTCTTCCTTCATCAGTAAACAGAACGTTGCTATTAGTATAGCACACATGCCTTTTTTTTTTTTCAGATGATGATAGTGATCAATGTGGCCAGACTGAATTTCGGAATGGGTCTAGTTAAATGTTGCAAATACCGAGGCTAAAGCGTAATTAAATTACAATTACAATGAAAATAATTATAGTCGGTGACAGGTCAAGAACGATGTGAAAGCTCCTCCCACCTCTTTCCACTTTAGTAGAGCGATAGCTGGAGAGGAGGCGACCTCCTCTTCATCGTTCGCTCCGCTGAAGTGGAAAGGGGTGGGAGTAGCTTCCACTTCGTTCTTGACCTGTCACCGGCTATAGTTACAAATTGCTCAGAAAGTAATTAAATCACAGTAATTCAATTACTGCAATCGAATTATTACTCAAGTGTTTTGAACGGCAATATAACAGTGCTTCCTGCAACATCGGGCTTTGCTCAACGGTTGTGTGGTCTTGGTAGCGTAGGTGCAAGCTTACACCACATTTACTGGCACCTTCGAGCCCGACCGAGCTACGTTCTAGAGTGCAGTAAAGCAAAAACTGAACCATGCATAAACATGGTATTCCAACCCCACACTATATAGACCTTAGCAAAAATCGCCTTCTGCTGGGCTCGTACGGTACGCCTGAGTATGCGCTGTTGCTCTGCTGTGCGGTATATCGGACTCTGCGAATCCGTCCACAGCTCAGTGACAGCAATTTTCTCCCGGTGATAAACGATGCAAAGGTCTATAGTGTTCGCGTTTGTACTCTGCCAGTGTCACACGAACGAACGACTTGTGAGACAAGGAGAAATCAACGCTGGCAAGGGAGCGCACAGTGCTTTTTATTTATTTTCGGTCAAAATCTCTCCACGGCCTTCGTTTATTCTCTCTCTCTCTCTCTCTTCCTCTCTATTTGCTCAATGGATCGCATGTCCGCAGTGAGACGACAGATGGTGTCTACGCTGTATTCCAGCTGCGGTCGTGACGTGCGCAAGTTCCCAATGTCGGTGACCGGTGTATGGGGTATTACGAGTTTAGACTGCCACGGCACAGCGCACAAATTTGTGGGATCCTTTCTGAATGGCTGTAGTCACTGACGTCTGAGAGATACGGCACAATTGCTTTAAAGGGAAGCTACGGAGCTTCTTAGAAAAAATGAGTTAGAAGTGAATTCTAGTGTATTTTTACCCCGTGAACCCAAATACTAAAACCATTTGCAGCGTAAGTATTGTTAAACGCGAGAAAAACGCGAAAGACAGTCGCTGTACGTGACGTCATCGACAGATCTTTTGGCTGCCCAAGGCTAGGGAGGCGGGGCTTCAGTCCTATTTTGAAATTGCTCGTATGGCTCTCCGGCGCGTCGCATTGAAATATAATTTTGATATGTTTTTTTTAAAGGTCAAATGAACGCAATTCAAGCGTTTTTTCTCAAATGTAGAAATGCCCCACAAATAAAAAACAATAAGTGCTGGAAGCTGTGAATTGTTTTACATGAAGGTCTTCTATGTTTCAGGGACCCAAATGTCGCTGCCACGGAAGGGACATAGCTGCCCCATCTGGCCGAAAATGACGCCGTCCGTGCGGACAAGCATCTTCATCTTGACGTCTCTCCTGCTGTTATTGTGGCTCTTCTCGTTCAGTGCATTTCGTCCAACATTCCGGCAAATAGTGGGGGTCTGGTCGCCGGTCAAGTGGTCCTATTACCCCTGGTACAACCGGGACAGTGCAAATGTCACCAAGGAAGTTCCCCGAATTCTCCTTTGGACTTCGTTTTACGGCACGTGGATCGGATCCCTGAACAATTCTAGGACAGGTGAAATGTTGACTACGAAATGCAGCCGCTCGTGCATCCTTACTAATGACAGGAGTCTCCTGGAGTCCAGCGACGCGATTGTGTTTCACATCCGGGACATTGACATGGCGAACCTGCCCCAAAGAAGGTCCCCTTTCCAGAAGTGGGTCTTCTGGTCCATGGAACCTCCGCCTTACTCCGTCTTCGCAGGTTTCAAGTACATGATGAACATGTTCAACTGGACTATGACCTACCGCTTTGACTCTGACATACCCGTGCAGTACGGCCAGTTGGAGAGGAAGGAGGACCTGGCTCCGAAAAAGAATCACAGTGCACTTTGGAAGTCAAAGTCGGTGATGGCCGTCTGGATGGTGAGTCACTGCAACACGGACGGCAGACGGGAAGCGTACGTGAAAGAACTCAAGAAGTACCTCAAGGTCGACGTGTACGGCCTGTGCGGAGACCACAAGTGCTCGAGAAGTCGGGGAACTTCCTGCTACTCCGATTTTGAACGGAAGTACTTTTTCATGCTTGCTTTCGAAAACTCCATTTGCCGAGACTATATCACGGAGAAGTTTTTCACAGCCCTCAGGTACGACATGGTGCCCGTGGTTTTCGGAGGTGCCAACTATACTCGAGTCGCTCCTTCTCGGTCCTTCATCGATGCCCTCAGCTTCAAAAGTCCGAAGCATCTTGCCGAACACTTGACACGCGTGGCGAAGAACGTTAGCGCGTACAAAAGTTATTTCGACTGGAAGTCGCGCTACAAGATACTCTCCTGGTCGGAGGAGTTTTGTACGCTATGTTCTAAATTGCACGGTAAGGACTTCAGAGAGCAAACTACGTACAATGACATGCGGGTGTGGTGGGAACAGGAGGGCCGGTGCCGGTCTTGGAACCTGTGAACTTGTTTATAGAAACCTACGGTGGCCTTTCGCGTCATTGGTCAAAGTGATCCCTGATTTTTATGACATCCGGAGGTTGAATAGATGGGTCGGATCTATACCTTTTAAGTTTTACCGCTGCATTATAGTGTTCTTTTTTTCTTCTTTTAGTCGGTCCATTTGTAGTCAACGTTTGTTGTAAGAAAGGTTGTAGTGTCGCTCGTCTCGCTTTTCCTTGGGGATCATTTTCGCTTTTGGGGATAACATGATGTGATCTGAGGCAGGGTCCAACCAGAGTAACTGTATGGTCCAACTAGCGTGTTTTTAAGTACCTTCGAGCGCGTGGCCGAGACGGTGGCTGGGGGGCTCGGCTCGAACGACATGGGCAATTCCATGTCGTTCGGAGGGGAGAGAATGCGCTCAGCCGGGGTACGCAGATTCGGTTTGATTGCATTATGGCGTTTCGTTTTCCTTGTATCGGTATGGATCTGTCCGCAAAGCACACCGCGCCCCATCAGCCACCGTCTCAACCGCAGGCTTAAAGTAGTTTTTTGAGCATTGCTGGAGACTGTTCCTATTTTTTGGAGGAGGGAATTTTTGGTCAAAGTACATAATCGTGTTGCCATAAAATAGGCTGTATTCATCTGATGTCACTCCGCCATCCTTTGTTTACTGGTTTGGTGTACGAACAAAATACACCATCATGCTGCCACAGAATAGGCTGTTTGCACTTGATGCATGTCATTCTGCCATATTTTGTTCAATGCTGAGTTAGATTATGCCAAGAAACTGTACCGCGGCATCTCAGTCAGCTTGCGCTGAGCGTAGAGACAGTAAGAGTCGTTTACAAAATTTGCCGAGGGCGGCAATAGATGATGTACTTGTTTTTATGAAAATATCAAAGGATGAACTTATATCAGTCACCATTTACGGATAAAAACGGAATTGGAGAACTATGCAGCTTGGTATATTTCTTTTTTTCCATGCGATGACAGGTCGCTGTTCAAGTCGCCAAATAAACAAACGTAAACGATATTCTTTTATGAAGGCTACCTGCTAAATAAGTAAAAATAAGGTGGACAGTGAAAGAGTGAGGAAAATCTCCTCGCACTATTCAGGGGCTTAAGTCGCTTTGTGTGACGATAGGTTTAGAATTGCTAACTTGCCCCCTTTTATATAGTCACAAGGCCCACCAGACCTGCAGGGTTGTTGCTTCATTTTGACAAAGAACGTGCTAAAGTGCACATAACACACAAATTAAAATTTCTATGCTTACGTTTTCACTGGGGTATATGAATTCAACCTTTGATATATTTTAATAGCAAATGCACCACCTAAGCGCAAAATGTTGTACCGTTCTCTACTGACTCGATTCCTACTGTCGATTTGGATTGGGGTCGTTCCAGTTTGGTCCACCCTGTTCTTGTAATGCTATACTATAGGTCTATAATTTTATACCACAGCAGCTAGATAACGTACAAGGAGTATTCTCAATTGAAGGGATTAACCTCAGATCCATCCATTCTACCATATGTTTTCGAAACTTTTTTTTTCCCCCCATGGAGGAAATGCTTTTCCTAAAAAGTTGTCGTTTTGGATAGAAACGTTTAAGCAAAAGTGAGTTGCGCACTGAACGGTGTAAAACATTTCCCTATGCGAGGTTAACTATGGGACCAGCTCTGGTATTACAAAAAAATAAATACTTAACTGTTTGAGAGCGTCTTTTGTTCGACTAGAGTTTTAGCGGTGCTCAGAGTGCATTTCTACAGGCACGCGAGTCGAACAAGTCCGCCCTTTTTCTGTAGACTACACATGTTACTGCAGAATTTGTAGCCGAGTACAGCATCGTTGCGTCTTACAGCAGTGTGGTGTTTGCTTCGAGAACATGTACATATACTCTCCGTAGTGCTAGTTACGCTTATGGCGTAAGTGTCCAAGTGAGCCTAGCACAGCCTTTATTGTAGGGGTCAACGACGGCCGTTGCATTTACTGCACATCTGACGTATTGACAACTTGCCATGTCCGACTGCGTCGAGGAACCCGGTGAAGATCTGTTGCGGGGCTTGTGTCACCGTGCACGCCTCTGTGCGGCATGCTTTGCCACGAGCACCCATTCTGATTTGTAACATTTGTGCTTCAAAAATAACTTGTGATATATATGTGGTGTCCTGCGCGGTATCTGAGTGCCATTGCTGTTGTGTGTGACGAGGTGCTGGTGTTGTGTACGCAGTGTTGCGGACTATTTTCTAAGCGACATTTACTATATGTCTCTCGGGAGTTAGAGGACCTTGAAGGAATATTCTGTCACTACATACTGTTTAGAACGAATCATTGGTACTAATAATATGCGAGACGTGCATTATTTTTTCATCTCCACGCGCCAGTTGTTGCTGGAAACAACGATATTGAGCTGCGTGATAACCTCAACTCGCGACCTGATGTAGCGGTCACATGTTCTGGCGGCCGGTTTGTGGTCTACGCGTCTAGATATGCCCAAGACGTAATTGCTGCCAATATCAAATTTCTGCGATTTCCGTCACGGCGCTAATTTTACAGGAACCTGAATTTTAGCCGGCGCATAGACTGTACCCGGTCTGGAGATCAGCAATGGGCTCGTTCGATTTACCATTCCTTGCCCCAATCTACACTGCTGTACACCGCCTCATTCGATTTGCGAACGCAGCGTATATTTTAAAACGCATATCGAAGTACGCCGCCCTGCACTTTTCTGCGTCAGTGTAGGCTGGCATCGGTAAATTGAACGAGCCCAACGACGCAGCGCTTTGTGTCCGTGAGCCGTACTCGGCAGTAGTGTTTTGACGCCCCGGTTCAACACGCAGGTTTAGGCACGTTTAGGTGGTCTATCGATACCCTCGTGCAGAACTGAAATCGTCGTCGTTTTCCCCTAGACCTGTCACCATTGACTCAGTATTGCCGAAGACGAAACTGGAAAACCGTAGCTGGCATTTATTTTGAAATTGTACTGCGTTAGTACAGTTGGCTGGTCTTTCTTATTTCCAGTACCATGATACACTGCGTATAGAATTGTAACATCTGAGCCCAGCATCATTCCACTGTCCCTTTAAATGCTGTCTGGCAAGGCCGCCACATTGTTAGAGGGGAAATCAATATCGTTTTGGTGACCAGTGGAGTAACTGGGGAAGCGTGTTGGGCCGTGTGGGATCGGCTGTGTAACCAGGGCAGAGAATAAAAATGATTTAAATCGTCATTTAAATCAGACTATGATGATTTGAATCAAACCTATCCCACAAACATAATCGAAAATATATTTACCGTTTGTTTGTCACTTCATGCTATCTTTGTGCATTTGTTTTATATTTACATAAGATAAGCAAGCAATAAATATTTATGTACGGCTGAACATGAGCAAAATGAAGTGCTCTTCGGAGAAAAGCGGAGCGTTGAGCCCGGTGTCACCTTCCACTTCGTTCGTCAGCTATGTAACGTCCTACTGCAACAAAATCGGAACGCAAAATAAAGAAGCGATAACTAGAAAGGTAATGTCCAATTGCAATCAAGTCAGTACGCGAAAGAAAAATCAAAGCTTTTTAGCTAAGCAAAAGTCAAGCTGTTTTTGTTCTAGTATGGAGGGTATTACATAAACGTTGCCACTACCCACAAAAAAAAAATTTCTGCAAAAAAAGTTGATTTTGAAAAATGTAATATTTACGTCTACCAGCACCTGGAGAGTATTTCCAGGAAGTTTCATTAGTTTACACCGCATAGTTAATTTTTTATAAATTATTTTCGGTCCATTGAAGCTAAAGAAAAGGTAGGGGTTGGAACACTTTGACCACATTTTTCTCCATTCCACATTTTGGCATAAATTTCATTGTAGGAAAAATTTCGTTTGTTAATGGGACAAGAGGAAAGACCTGCTTATTTTTTTTTTTCCTAAGTGGAATTCTATGGGCAGTGCAACTATGGAATTGTTTTTTGACTTTGTGGATGTCTTCTATAAAAGATGTTAAGATTTTGTGGATGACATAAAAGGCAAAAACATTTATTTGATATTGCACTGCGATGTTAGCATGAAGTAAATTCCTTTTTGGAAATTTTCTTTTCACAGCTGCGCTCTCCAGGCATTCTGCTGCGGATCTAGAGTAGAAAGATGTTGGGTATTACATTAGTTTCTTAACAATAGTTTTCCTAAACAAAGTCGGTGTGTTCCTGATAAAAATTACTACAAGTTATTTTACAACTCATGCACACTGATGAAACTTTGCAGTGCATTCTGCCTTGCAACTTACAGAATATACCCTAAATTTCATTCATATTAAGCCATAGGTTAAAAAGTTAACCCTATTGGGTAGTGTCCCCCCTTAAGGCCGGTTCTCACATGCAGCGAAGCGCTGATGTAGCGCTCCTCACGTGCCATGCATCAGCTACTTATCGTATGCCATGAGCAACAGTTTTGACGGTGCGATACAAAGGTGGGGAACGCTGCCGTCAGCACGCGCTTAGCGCGAGGTTAGCGCTATACTCGTAGCGCTCCGCTGCATGTGTGAACGGGCCTTTAAAAGGATGCTGAATCAAACATTTCATTGTCTATAATAAGTGGTGCACTATCTTTCCATGAGTCTGCAGCTGCCGGTGTGCGCGAGCACACGCAACGAAATTGAGTTGCCAAAGATGACGGAGTTTCTTTGGAAACTCCAACCGTCATTCCGCCGTTTTTGAAACTTGGACTCGACTGTAGCATTGTATAAATACCACCCGCGTTCATCTGTAAAAGTTCTTCCTGACGAAGGCCGAACTCCGGCCGAAACATCGAAGTATAAATCGTCCGTTGTTACTGTTTTCACCAAGGGTTTTTTCTTCTCAGTTATATACACACGCCTTCGGCCTCCCGCCACCATGCCCGTTGTATATATATATATATATTGCACTTCTTTTTTTTTTTTTTTGTGTGTGTGTGTTTGCACAGCTTTTTTTATCCGGCGAATGCATAACTATTGCGCGTGGTAAGAATTACCCTCGCATGCCCAAATCAACTTGCGTTTGTATGTATTTAGAAATGCTTCGGGGCGTCCATAAAGTAATCTTTCGTTGGTAGAAGCACAAGTTCCGCAATGCCCTTTCAGTGAGAGTTCATCGAAGTAGGGAACACAACAGCAGCATGTCCTGGGAAGGTCTAGATTTGTAGAAAAGCTAAAACTGGACCTGCCAGGATATTTGGCCTTCTCTCCCAGTGTCGTTGCAGTGCTCGCCCCGATAGACATGCCCGCCCTTTTTTTCCATGTTGCTTTGGACGCTCGAAGCTCAACCGCTGTAATCGATGATGGTTTTAGCTGCGTGTGCAGCAATCCGAAAGTGTGTGAAATACCACAGGAAGCCCCGTCACATTTTTTTTTTTTTTTTTTTTTAAGTCATGGGAATTTCAGTTGGGCATTGAGTTGGCTGTTTAGATAAGCACAGTGAGCCTGTATTTGCCATCGGTACCAGCCTTACAGCATTCTAATACGGAAGTGGCGGAAGGGTACGCTTTTGTGGCCTTTCTCGTAAAGCCCCTCTATCCTGGGAAAAGTGGCCGCCATTCATTGTTGTGAAAATGCTCGTGACAGGTGCCGCTTGCCCCTTCTGGGAAGAACATGGCGTCTGAAATCTAGCTCAGTGCTGCGCTGTGCCGCCATGATCTTCCCAGGGGCTGCACGTGCCTCGTGCATCGGCGGACCTTGCGCTACTTTTGAAACATGAAGGCTTTCAGCAGGCGTTGGGCGTGCGCGTCTTTTTATGCGGACGGGCACGACGTTTTTCAGCCGAGTTCGGTCGTTTCCAAGCACTTTCAGCGTCTAAGATGTGCTATGTGTGAACAGGCCTTGCATGTACAACGTAATTTTATCAAAAAAAAAAAAAAAAAAAAAAAGAAGCTTTAGTTGTTCTAAATATCTCGGAAGAGGAGTTGACAATGTACACGACCTTCTCGGCCGGTATGTTACCCTTACACATTTTTTACGGTTGTATGTAGCGGTTTACATACTACTATTGTTTCAGTACATTTGGGCGTGCGGAGTCAATTATACGCTGTTTCTGTACCACGAAGGACCCTGAAGGCGGCTTTTCGCGAAACGGTGGAAGTTTTTGTGCACCGTATTGTATACGTATATAGCCGTGCTTGCCTCCTTTTATATTAGATTTTTTTTCTTTTTTCAATTTACAATTGAGCGTTCTTTTTTTTTTTTTTTTTTTGTCTTTTATGTGTGCAATGCAAAAAGGAATATGAACGGTATTTGACGTTGTTTTACCTCCTGCTGTGGTTGTGGTTCTTTACCGTTCTTGAGCGCCGGATACCCGTCACCAACCATCACAGGAGTTTGATTGAGAACGGACAGTTGGTGTTAGTAAAACACTTTGATGTTCTGCTCCAGTTCCGACGTCATTACGGCTGGTCTGACTGGCTACATCAGCTGGTCGAACTCTTTTCCTTACAAGAAGAGTGACTTATAAGAATGGAGTTTTGTATGTGAAGTTTTCCAAAAGAGCCTTGCTCCTGAAAATGATTGTCTGTCTACAATCTGGCTAGCTTGCAGGCATGTCTTACGAACTGATGGAATATTCTGGTTTTAGTGTTCTCCCAATTGGCAATGGTTTTATGGCAAGCTACATCTTTCTGACGCTGATTTTGTAAGATCGTTTTATTTGTATTAACAAGCACGCTGAATCCAGTTTCACAGTGAAGAGATATAAATTCTAAAGGACCTTCAATTTTGCTAAATAGACCATTTGCTATATTACCCAAGCATCAAGGAGAATGCAGGGATTAGTGTTCCACACGCGCACGCCTTCCCCGTATAAAAGATTCGAAGTAAATAACCCAAATAAAGCGTCGACGAACGTGCGTGCAAGATACAATTTGTTTTCGATTTTTGCTTTAGAAACTTTACTACTGCTGAGGCCAGCACGTGCGGCGCGTGGAACACCAATCCCTGCATTCTCCTTGATGCTTGGGCAATACAGCAATAGGTCTATTACCATAGCACAAAAGAGCCTTCCGCGAGCGTAGCACGCGCTACACGTTCTGCAGTGTCTGCAGCGGTAATTGTTCAGAAGGAAAAATCTCAAACAAATAGCACTTTGAACGTGAGTTCGTCAACGCCTTATTTCGTTACTTCGAATTTGTTATATAAGGAGTATTCACTGGACGCCATATTTGTGGGTGCTGTCTAGAGCGCATGCTCAGAACGAGCCCCCATTAATAGGCTGCAAAGGCCGGCCATTTTGACGGTGTGGAATGCACGTTGCAAAAGAACCGTGGAAGCTAGCCATCAGCACGCGCTCAGCAGTCGCGCACACAGCTATGGCCGCCAGCGAATACTTCCTATAGGTAGGGCGAGCGCGTGCAGCGCGTGTACCTACATTCCCAGCATTCTCCTTGGGTCTTGGGCATTTAGCGAAAGGTCTATCGCTCCGCTTGTAGGTTCTCGACGTGAAGGCACAGTGCTGCATAGGGCTGTTGTCCTTGCGCGTGCCTGCGTGCGTGCGTGCGTGAGACAGAAAGTGAGAGATGGTGACGTACGTGCGCACACAACGTGCGCGTGGAAAAAAAAGTTTTCCGAGGACTGTTGCATTCCAAAAAACGTTTCCTAATTCTTATAGACTCCCTGAAAATATGGACATCCATAACGGGGGGGGTCTTGGACTACACTGCCAGAGAATGTTTTTGTCCCCGACCCCGAGTACAGTAAAGGTTCTGAGCCATCATAATTAACCATTCCCGATCAGCGCGCGTAACTTTCAGGACAGTCATGGCCAGTGCGAAGTAGCATTCTCCTCTCCGTTCTTGACAAAATCGCTGCACTCGTTGCGTGCCCGTCGACTGGAATGCAGTAGTAGTACGTAGTGCGCAGTCTTGTTCGGCGGGTTCCGCCTTTTAAAGGGATGCGGAGCAAAAATTTGGAGCTCACAAAACAAAGCTGGAGCGCTAGGCGGGACGCTACAAAACCCCAAAAATGTCACTCGTGTAACGGATGGCCGTATTTTTGGAAAAGAAGTGTGCGCCTGAAACAGTGCCGACGAGGCCGGCGAGACATGCGACTTCTCGATTGTCGTTCCCTCTCATCTTGGCTTCGTCCCTTCGAGCTGGTGAACCGAATCAAGGAGAAGAGAAGCGAGGCCGCTTCCCCTCGTTCTCAACTGTTCGAAGAGAAGCGTGAGGTCACACTGCTCGCTTGATCGCGCCCCTTTTCCAAAAAGTACTGCCATCGGTTTTAGATGATGTATGAGTGATGTTCTCAAATTCATAGCGTCCCGTTTAGCGCTTCCGCGGCCTTATTTTGCGAATTCCATATTTCGGTTCAGCATTTCTTTAACGAATCCCTGGCACGACGCAGCGTTTTTTTTTTGTTTTTTTGTTTTGTGTGT